CAGAATCTGCTGTAACCTTTTGACCTTTGGGGGTAGGAGTGGTTTGAATGGCACCTCGACGGGACTAGGTACAAAGCTTCAAGGGTGTATTTTGATATTCAACAACTATGATAACTTTAAGAAAAAGAGGACATTCACACAACTCACGAAGCAAGTGTGAATCTTCCGTAGAACAATCACCTGGTGATAATCATTTTCCCTTCGCTCAAAAATGAAGTTTATACTTCAACTCAGGCATGGAAGTCCTATGCTTCATTGAAACAACCAAAGGACGACAATGTCGAAGAAGGAGAGAAGTATATACAGCTTTTGGAGAGAGCTCTTCTGGCGGACTCCAATAAACCCGTGGGTTTTTTTTTGAAATTGTAGAAACTGTCATTTTCTAAATCTTATTATCTACAACCGCAAAGACTGAATCCTTTAACCCTCAAAATCAGGGTCCGGGCTCAGCCTGACCGAAGAAGTCCCTTCAGTAGGTAGATGTGCTAATTAAGTCCGCCGGACAGTAGTCGTGCTACCTTCGCGCCTCTAACGGGTCACGAAGGCGTTAGGCGCCCAAGGCTGTATTAGCCCACGCCTAGAAGGATCAATGCCCGCCCATCGTTCGGTATCTTGTCCGTGCCGCAGTGTTGATCTACACACTTAGCATCGCTACTTCCCTATTCGAGTGGGATTATCACATGCATTTGATCCTAGGCCTTGACTTTAATGTTTTCTATTCTCTCGCAATACGAGCAGTAGACTGACACGGTTTCTAGGCATACTGTATGTTGCATGCATTCCACAATGTTTGCAGCAATAACTGAAATATCACCTTTTCTCTCAATTCTCTCAACAGAGTCGTCGCTCTCATATGGATTTCCCTCGGTTTCAGTGTCTTTGAAGTTCTCATTTTTTAAGTACGAATTTCACCCAAAAAAAACTTCATAATGAAGTTTCTGTAGGGAAATTCCGTCTGGCTGTTTCAGCTGTGACTTAATATTTTACATGTTCTTCCTTTTTTGATCATATGATTTTTTTTTCTAGAATTGGAGCAAAGATGTTGAATCATGCTGTTCGGTGCTGTCGTCTGCAGTTGAGCTAGCTTCGGAACGTCTGCGATTTGCAGCTCTCAAAGGAGATGACGCTGTGAAACAGGTCTCTTCTGCTATATTATAAACGCCACATGTTCTGGTTCATGCTTGTAGTTCAGGCAAAATCTCGCATACGGATGTCGCTGAAACCATTGGTTACAATAGCCAGGAGGGAGTACGGTAGCCAAAACAAAGAGAATATGAACGAAAAGTGGAAAAGCGTCGAGGATTGTCTTGCTAAGGCGGATAGTATGTTGCAAGAAGTTTCTTTATAGTACTTGTCTTGATTTTAGGTGTTAAATAGACACAGTCCACAGATTTGAGGTGTCATAAGACATTTCCGCACTTGCAATAAACATGGGTGCCCGACAGACTGACCCACACTCCTTTATCTAAAATCGACTGTGGCGTGTGGTGTTATGTTTGTTAATTCGGTGCATTACTTTTGATTGTTCACACAGTGATATTAACTATGATATACAAGATCCGTTTTAACAGTAAATTATCTTCATACATCTAGTGAAACAATAAAAATAAGTTACAACATTCTTAGTGAAGCAAAGTAAATAACTAATCAACCTAAAAAACCCGATACTCCATTAATTTATTAAGATAAAAAATAAACAATGAAACAAAACACAATACGTATTATTCGAAGAAGCGGTCTAAGCGGTCGTGAGTGTCGCAGGAGGGGGGGCAGGGTATTGTCGAAAACTTCATCCGAGACTTTGGGTTGAGGGGACGTACAATTTTTGATTTGACAACTTGATTAACCGGTTGACCTTGGTGCGATCAACAGTCCCATGAAAAGCTGTACAGACACGAAAGTTAGCCGAGAACATGAAAACTTGACGCGCTACGCCGTCCGTTTCGGAAATAAAAAGTCGAGTAAGCATCAGGCCTATCGCCGCGATGCCGACCCTCTCCTTGCTATCATAGTAGCGCCCAGCTATGATCGTTAATTGGCTTCAATTGAATTATGCGGCATTATTTCGAACGCGCGACCCCTCTTTTTCCTATGGCTCATTACCGCACTCTAGAATGTCAATGGATGTTACTCCATTTTCAAAATATGAGAAGAAGTCGGTGCAGACCAATACACCCACAATACCAGTCCCCAGACATCTGGTTAGTAGTGTTCTAGTCATCATCCTGATTTTTGGAAATGAAGCGAAACATTGAAAGTCCCTCGAGTTCCTACAGCTAACTTATCAGATCCAGCCCGAGTGTTTCTCATCAACGCATCCGCACGTCATATTGCAATAAATCAAGCTGAATTATGACAGCTGATAGAACACACTGCAACAGTCAAATCATTTCAAACTTGCATTTTATGCGGAGCCGTCGACCCTTGGCGTTTCTGCGCCCGACACTTCTCGTATTTTGAAAGAGAGGGTATGTTAAAAAGATTAAAAGATTTCTGGAGTAATGGATGATTTTCATCATTGATTGTTGTCGATACACCAATTAAAAAAAGATCAGACTCGTTTGTGTGACTTCTCATTGCACGGTCGTTTACACCATTCGAGTCGCTTCATTTTCGAGTTGAGCCGAAGACCAACTGTACATTGCTGAACACGGCAACATCTCTGGTGCACAGCGAGCAGCCTCTCTGCCGATCTCCTTGACTTGCAATGTCCGCAATGATTCCGCGTAGATCTTCTGAATAAATCATAAATTTATTTCTGCTATGTTGAAGGCACGGGTTGCGATCAGATCTCTAGAGAAACTCTCCCTTCAAGCGAGTTCCTCTAAACAGAGGGGGAGTGATGCTATCGCGCGACAAGGAATTTAAGGCTCTGTGACCGCTGCATGACAGCTGCCGCACTTCTTATCACCAGCGCAAAATATGGGCGTAATGCATCCAAATCTGTCGAGGAGGGGGGGAGCAGCTGACGACGCAGATCCTGTGCACGGCTTAGTCTGCGTGCCACTGTGTTTTGAAACTACCATGCTGCGACGAAATACAAACAATTTCTATGACTAAGTCTAAGAGGTGCAGGCAAACAGACCGCCGCTTCTTCCCCCTCCCCCAAAACAAGTTGGCACCCACTCGCTTACGACGTGCTCTCTCATGTTTTCCCTCCCTTCGCAGCGCTGTGTTTACCAGTTATATCACAACCGACATTCAGGAAATTACAGCGTTTTTTATAGTGCTTTCTGCTTTTTCTCCCCCACGAGGGTTCCTCCCTCATTTCTTGCCTAGTTTTTGAACAAAATAACGCACCAATTCAATCCCGGACGGTGCTTTCAATGACCAGAAGAGCTTTCTTTTTGATGGAGCTACAGGTTTTCACGAGGTATGGATGGTAATTAATCGGATAAGTACGACCGCAGCATACGACAGTAACGCGCTCTCCAACTATGAGTAAACTGAAGGCTACCTGGCTGATCTCGCTGAACTGAAGTAGGTTTCGTGTTGTCTTCGCAAGGACGACTTTGCAGATTACAGTTTTCGCGATCGTTGCAGTCCCGTCGTCGATGCTGCAAACCGTCTTCACATTTCGACCATTCCGTCTGCGTTTCCGATGCGATTACCAGCTTTTCAGGAACAGCTGGAATAAAAAAAACTCTTGGGTGGCGATACTTTTGGACGAGAAAAATTCGGGTTCTATTGGAACCCGTATTGATAAGGGAGCTGACCGTATGTCCTTGCCGCGTGAATACGACGTCGCTGCGGCTTCTCGCATCCAATTTCGAAGTAATCCACAATGTCCGTGTTTTCTTCTGCGAACAGCTCGCTTTGAGTGTGTCGATTTTCCGAATTCAAAATGCAGTTCAGCTGAGTTTCCTGAATAAGATCTCGCATTGGGAATCCAAGGGCAAAAGTGGTGAAGCGGTGATTGAGGCGGCGCTGCGACATGAGCACGTTCGAATCCCTTCCAGCGTAATTTCAGCAGTGCCCCCCACGAAATTATGCGCTGTTGCCTTTGTACCCTTCATATCAGAGGCCAGGGACCGCAGACTCCACAAACAAGTGACGACGGCCTTCAAGGGAATGTGATCGCTACTAGTTCATAGCAGGGTCAACCGTCCGTCCGTTCGCACTTACGAACGAGGGGGTTATATTTGTGAGGTAGAGGTAGTGATTTGAGTTGAGCACGGTTAATCTTTGGGAAAGTGGGAACGGGGTTCGTATTAGCGTTACTATAGAGGGTCGGGTGAAAAAAGAGGGTAGTTTTTGACGAGTTTTCTGAAGAATTTCCATAGAACGAGAGTGATATAAATAAAACTAGAGGATTTGCCGCTTTATTGCACAAATTTACCCCCTCCCCCTCTCCTTCTGCCTTCCACTGGACGGCAGGGTGAATATCGCTTGAGGATTCCTCAACGGCACGTCGAGGATTCTCTGCCCGATCAGAGACGATCTCTCGCGCGGACATTCACACTCGCCATGCCGTGCCGTCTGTGCTCTCCGCGCGGATGTTCACTCTCGGCACTACTCTCGCATGGTAGAGAGCTATGGTCGAGGATTTCCTCGCTCTTAATGAACTTCGTATAGCTATCGAAATAGCTCATTGATGGTGTGGTGGGGCAAGGTGCATGAAGAGCTGTCGTAGGGACTCGCCTAGCGGTAATGGGTTCGTCGGGTTGTATACAGACCCATTTAAAGGGGGGAGGGTCGTAAAAATTTCTGGAAAAAAGCGAACGCGACGGTTGACCTGGTTCATAGTGTTTGATAAATGATAGCTGTGATTAGTGACAGCTGGTAGAATAGAAGTGAGGTCTCATCCAATAAGGCTCCTTAACTGAATTAGATATGGCGCACAGTTGGGCCCGCTTACATGAATTAAAATCTTTTTATGGGAGGGGAATTCCCGAGCTGGATGAATCCTTTTGCTTTCGCTTTTACACCCAGCCCAGAGTTCAACTCTGCGACAATTTAGATTACTTGAGTCGATATAAACTGTCCCGCCATATGCCCTCTTTCCTTACTGGATGAGCTCCTAGAACTGTTAAAGGCTAATCGTGCGTTGGCAGCGATGTATTGTATTACATTTTGTAGGTCGTCGTCACTTGTGCTGTGAAGTCTGCAGTGAACATGTACCTGATCACCGGTTACAAAGCGGTAGCGCATTTGTCTACTTCCCCTGGGTGAGTGCAGTGCCACGACGTTGTAGCAGCAATACAAGCATGGACGATATTGGAAATAATCGAAATCATCAACAAAAATCATGCGTTACATTGATTTCTCCGAAACCTCCACCATGCATGCTAGCGGTGTTCTGCAAAATAAATGGCACGCATGGCAATCATCAAAAATCATGCAAAGCCTTGGAAAAATCGGTATCACGTATGATTTTTGATGCTATTGTTTAGTTTCTGTCACGCCTATGTTGATAAGGCCTGCGTTTCTGGCTCACCTGGGTAAGAGGAGGAAAGTGTAAGGTACGGTAGTTACCTCGAAGAAATACATGCCACTGCTACAGTTGAAACCAAAGGTGCTGTAGCTCTCTAGGCAGTGCTCAAAGCAAGCCTCAAATGACGTCGTGTCGGCCACTGCCTCGGCGAATCCGACCAAAACCATTTGTGGGAAGCGTGTAAAGGTAGGTGAACACTTCCTGGTAGGAGCAGCGAGGCGACTTATTATGAGAAATGTTATTGACATCAAATAATTTTTGAACGAGGGTATTAAATCAGTTTCTTAACAAGTATGGGTTGAATTCAAGAAATTCTATTAAAGTTTCCTTGATTTGGAAAGGTTGAAAAGTAAACCATAGTTGCTCAGACTACACTTCAGGCTCGCTTTGCTAGCCAAAGTCATCCTCTACTAGTGACCACCTTATCCTCTTTTTTTCCATCGATGAGATAGGTAGGAGCAAAGAAATCGTGCACGGAAAGCTCATGATTCCATCTTCTTTTTGAATCTTTGGAAGATCGATTCTTGACAGTAAGAACGGAAAAAAAGGAAAATTTGCATTTGTTCTGCTAAACAATCTGGAAAACTATCGGAAAACTATGTAGCCACTAAATTCGGCTGCACAGTATGTGCAAACCGACCTCTCCCATTTCGTACTGGGTGCCGACATAGGAAGTCTTTTTGACTTAACCTCCTACGACAAAAACCACCCTTCTATTGTATCCTCATCCCTCTCCCAAAACGACTCGTGTCTACTTTCTGAATCCGGGGGAATTTTATTTTTCCCTACGACGCGTCACGCTAACACGTGCTGCCCTACCATATCTCTCGTACCCACGCGCTAGCCCTGACTCCGCCCACTAGTCCGTGAGAGGTTTCCGACAGGAAGCCCAAACGATTCGTCCGCTGAGTCTGCCTTCGTGCCGCGCGACAGGTCCAATGTCGAGTACCCATCTCTGAGTGTCTCATAGCTGCAGTTCCCGTGGTTTATTTCATTTTCAAAGTTAATCTCCATAGAGGGATTTTTGTACATTGCAGCTAGTGACGATTTATGCTGGGAAGTTAAACAGCACATTCTCGTGCACAGTCTCTAGAATGCAGTATCTGCTCAAACTCCTTTGATGGGCGCCTGAGCTCGAATTTCTTTCATCGTCTCGTCTTTTGATTGAAAAATTAGTTTTCAAAAATGTGAAATGGAAATTCCTGAGAACCTCGTCGTTGTTTCTGAGACGCAGATCTTCTCGTAGTAAAACGAGTCATTACGCTGTTGCAGTTGACCGTTTCCAACTGGCACAGCGGTTTCAGAGGAGAAAATGCAAGTGGGCGGAGAGAAATCGAACGATCGGCAGTCTAAAGGTTGTCCATCTATCTGAAAGAAAGCTCCATCAGAAAGTAATCACTTGAACGGTGAACCCCACATCAACGTCGTTTGCACATCATTGGTTTCCATCAAGTTTTGTAAGGGTTCAAGGGCCCATGTAATGAGCTGAGGGATTTGGGGTTGTGTATTGCTCCATTTCCAAGACAAGATCCATAAATACTTAAGGCTCAGTGGATTCAAATAGTATTCAGATGAACCACGCCTTTTCTGTGTAGCGCCATCCCGTTCCCTTTGAAGTTTGAATGCTCCTTAGCCCCACAGACTCACATTGTTCTTTTCGCAGGCGATCACACATTCGCTCACATCAACCACTTGCATGGACATGTCATCATTGTTGAATAGTTCAAAGCCTTCGGTGCGGAGAAAGCTGAAATGAAGATTTCATAAAAAAGCTGAACTATTCGTCGTAATTGGCGTGATGCGCTAGGGTGTTAAAAACTCCCAACCTACTCTAGCTAATTCCCATAAGCTGTATTGTTCTTTGGGAAATCAATAGCTTGCCTAGATAGCTTTTTGGCTCAACGTCTCGGTCGCTATACACCTGTGTCCCAAAAAAGGTCCAGATATTGATTTTGACCTTTTCTGATTGTTAAGCGCTTTTTCTGGTGCCACTTGCCATGCAATGTTTATCACAAGAATGATGGGTTATGTGCAAAACTACGTTCCAGGTGGGATCGAACCTGCACCGTTTTGCGAATCGTGCTGTGCGGATTCGATACCTGCCTGAGGCGTAAAGTTTTGCCCATAACCCAGCATTCTTGTGATAACGGAGAATTAGAGATATCATCTCGCTCCAAGGAACAGCCTACCGGATTGTCACCGCTCTCGTATGATAGTACACACCAGACGTGTAGCAGGAAAATATTATATTTTGACTATTTACGAGAAAACAAACAACAGAAACTTTCGCAATTCAAATGACACTAGCATAAGGAAGCAGGGGCAATAGTAAACTACCTTTAACTCACAATCAGAGGTGCTGATTAAAGCAACAGTCCCAGCAGGGTTTTAACCTTCGACACTAATGGTGTGGAACGATGCGCTAGCCCTAGTCAAGAACATAAGAAGTGTGACTGAACAAAAAACTCACCTTGGAAAGCCGCTAGAAAGGGAGCTGAACGGCTTCGAAGTGGGCGTGGTTGGAATCGGCCGAGGGATTGCAGCCGATTTCCAACCACGCCCACTTCGAAGCCGTTCAGCTCCCTTTCTAGCGGCTTTCCAAGGTGAGTTTTTTGTTCAGTCACACTTCTTATGTTCTTGACTAGGGCTAGCGCATCGTTCCACACCATTAGTGTCGAAGGTAAAAACCCTGCTGGGACTGTTGCTTTCAAAGCCCCGATTATGGAATAGGGAGTCACACAGCCGCGAGTCAATCCTAGATCATACCTCGAGGTTCCCTCACTTATCTGAGAAGTACGGAACAACAAGAGCAAGAGAGAAACGAATTAAAAGCTGAAAAAAGGCCGCACAAAGCAGCTGAAGCTGATCACAGAAAAGAAAGACCGAGGAGGCACATACACCACTTTTGCCACGTTGGCCCTCCAGCAAGAAGTTCTCTGGAGTACCTATTACTGGAGGACTCAAAACAAAATGACTATGACCGTATTATCGATTGTATTTCGGTGTTCCTGATGATACAGCGAACCCTCCCGATAGCTGACAGCTAGAAGAATGTTTTCAGCGCCTAAGTAAGAACCAATTGTTAAGTTTTCAGTGAACTATGCTTTCTAAGGCATCTTCGATATTCATTTGAAGTTGTATACCTTCGTATTTCTTGGATCTGCCTCACGCGTAGCTTCATAAATGAGTAATAAACAATGATTTCAACTTCCGATTGCCGACTTCAAATCCCTCAAATCATTTCATGGTCTCGCAATTAATTGCTCACTTCTTCATTCCTCTTTCGCCCCGTTCTCCTTTCTCACACCGTTCACAATCATCGACCCCTAATTTCAGTCTTGGATCTCCGGTGTACTGTACAACTTCACAACTCACTTTGTTCGTGGTGCCGTCGGTGCTCCATCGTCGGTCTTTACCGATTTGGTCGATTATATCATCAAGAAAAACAACTATGAAGTGAGTGACTGCTCTCTCCGAGTTTAGGTTACAAGCCAATCTTTTCCTGTTTAGGTTGGCCAATCCAAACTGTACATTTCTCCGGATCAAATGAATCCGTTCACAGCTTGCTACTCGAGCGATTGTCATGCGAACGCTATCTGTACACCTCTTGGAAAGGGACACCAAACACCCGTATGAAGCAAGGGTGCTATCCACTACACCACCAGGCCCACCTACAAAGCTCCTCACCGGCTCAACTTGAGCGAGGCAAGCGGGATGCGAGGATGTAGAGGGCGCCATAGTGAGAAAGCCACAGTGAGAAGAATCCCTCGTAACTTCTTTCAGAGAATCGTTCCGCAGATACCGAAAACGGATTTGAGCTCAGCGTCGCAAGACGAGTACAGCGGACTACACCTCATTACAAATGGCCGGACTGACCAATTGAGCATTCCTCGTCAGATATGGCGCTAGAAGTTGGAGAATCAAGGTGGGCGAAAATCCATATAGAGAAAAAGCTGCCAAAATAGGAGTTTTTCGGAATCCATCGTCATCATCGAACCTTACTCCAGTCGACCCTTAATTTCAAATCATATTCACGTCGTACAAATTGAGAATAATGAGGATTCTAAAACGGGCTCAGTACCCTTTTTTGATTTCTAAACCGGTAATTTCTTGCGAAATGGAACAAAGTCGTAAATAATGATGAGAAGAACATCATTATGCTTAGCTTTGCTTTTGGGTTTTGCTTTAAACGTTTTTGCCAAATGCGAGCGCTACGATATTATGCACCGAACCAAGAACTAGGAAACTCCTCTCGCTTGAAGGCACTTGGTACGAGGAATTAGCGACCGCTCTAAATGATATCGGAGATGCTTAGGATTATAGGTGTGCAGGTGGACCTCTTCAGCCGGCTCCTCTAAGGGTTAGCTTTCACTGGTTCCATGAAGTCAGCCTAGTAGTCCACATCCTATTGAATAACTTCTGTCTTGAGTTGAAATAATGTTTAGAAGGTATTTAAAAGGCTTTCGTCCTTTCAAGTTTTGAAGAAGGCGACAACACCGAAACGTCAGGCGGTGCAAGTCGAACCACTACTTTCAGCGGATTCCTTGGGCGAAGTTATGTGGCCTCGGAGGCAGTAGTAGTGTTCATCGTGCTCCCAAAACTGAGGATAAGGATAAGAGTTTTCATGACTTGTAATCGATTCATTTAAAATTACTTCTGATAAGGACCGGTGTAGTGTGGAAGTACTCCTAAGGTGCTTTCAGATTTCGGCCTGCTGTGGTCCAAGGAAATGGTCCTGAACTGGGGTATGGGCATCCTTTCCTAGGCACATGGGTGTAGGAACCCTGGGTAGACGATCACATGATCACATACCGGAAGCATATGCACCACACGAATCGCTCACTTGGCTGCCAGGGAAGGGAGGTGTGGCGCTTTCACGACGAAAGGTGCGCTGGTTGCTGAGCAGGACTTCGAAAGCACTCCGCCCCAAAAGCGATCCGCCCACTAGTTTAGTTGGTGATTTGGACGAGCTGCGTTGCCAGCAGCGGCACAACTGAGCATCTCGAATGAAGCGTGGATTGGCATGACACCACCAAACGCGTTACGATGAACTCGCTCATACGTCCCCACCACGTCTTCACTAATCCTTCTTGGTATCGTAATCGCTGCCTTTGAAGACTTTAGCGTACAGCTCTGTCGTATGATAGTTTCAGGCTATTACAGACACGGATACCAGCACACATCTATCAATACTTTGCTCACCTGGACAGTATGGTACTGTTCATGAGACCATGGCATTACGAATTGTTCAATTTCGTGGATGAATGACTCCGTGTACCGGTGTCGTGACTTCCGTACGACACATCTGAGGGGTCGCGCCTGGTAGGGTGCGCGCGGGTCCTGGAAATAATTCAAGAATGCTAGCATAGAAGGAGAAATATAGAATTAGATTAATTATGCAGTCCACATATTTTAGTTGTCCAACTGGCGCGAGTAATTTCGCGTTTTGTCGATATTCAACACATTATAGCTCCCCTTACAAACAAATTTATTTACGTCAATGATCACCCTAATTGCCTCCATCTCTGTCCAATTGAATGTGTTCGACTGCACACCTCTCTCCCAAATTTATGCGATCTCCGGTCGGAGGTCTGTTCAGAGGTGTTTATGAGGAGTGAGGCCGATCTTCAGACTGGTCGGTTACTATGTGATTACTACGAGATTGAGAGATGGACGAGGTTCATGCAGGAGGAACCCCATTTTAGTGTTTCAAAAATGCGTTGAGTTTCTTTCTTCCCCCAAAATGGGTCTCTCTACGCCATCGTTGACTAAAGGACCAGATCGATACAGTCCAGTGGCCAGTTAGTCGACGTAATTAGAGGAGGTCATCCATCGAGGGACCGTTTTTGGGCAGGACTGACGTCGACATACTTTTAAAACTATACGTAATTAAGCAGAGATCTCTAGATTTCAGTTTCGTGGACAAGGGTTCAACGGCCTCGAATAATCGTCACATCCCGAGGAGAGTAGCCACAAAAACTTAAAATTACAATTGAAATTTGTTGAAATCCCGTTAAGATTGGTACCAAAATGATCGCGAATGCAAGCTGTTTCCGAAAATGTACACACTTCGTGTAGAGGGTTTGCAATGGTGTTATGACCGCAGGTACTGCTATTGGCAAGAAGAGACTCAATCGCTCGTTTCCTTGAAAATAAGGCCGAAGGTTTCGAGGAAATTGGGAGTTCGCTACATCTTTAGATTCGTCATGACCAGTGCTATCCGATGGTATAAATTTTATAGCATTTGCGCCATATTTTCATAAGTTACAGCAAAACGACGGTTTGCTACGGAAAGTTGTATCACATTTCGGCGATTGAATCAAAAAATTAGGGGCGGTATTGTACTTTCTAGGCTTTACATCGAAAATGATAAAATAGAGTTGACAGTAGTGGCAAGTCGCGCTGCTTACCATACGCGGTCGGGGTCGAAACCCAGGTCGTGCTAATTAAGCTCATGCTTAAGCGCATTTTCGGAAACAGCTCGCATTCGCGATCATTTTGGTACCAATCTTAACGGGATTTCAACAAATTTCAATTGTAATTTTAAGTTTTTGTGGCTACTCTCCTCGGGATGTGACGATTATTCGAGGCCGTTGAACCCTTGTCCACGAAACTGAAATCTAGACATCTCTGCTTCAATTACGTATAGTTTTAAAAGTTTGTCGACGTCAGTCCTGCCCAAAAACGGTCCCTCGATGGATGACCTCCTCTAATTACGTCGAGGAACTGGCCATGGGACTGTATCGATCTCATTCTTTGCGACGATTGGATGATAGGAGACCCATTGGGGGAAGAAAGAAACTCAAAGCATTTTGAAACACTAAAATGGGGTTCCTCCTGCATGAACCTCGTCCATCTCTCAATCTCGTAGTAATCACATAGTAACCGACCCAGTCTGAAGATCGGCCTCACTCCTCATAAACACCTCTGAACAGACCTCCGACCGGAGATCGCATAAATTTGGGAGAGAGGTGTGCAGTCGAACACATTCAATTGGACAGAGATGGAGGCAATTAGGGTGATCATTGACGTAAATAAATTTGTTTGTAAGGGGAGCTATAATGTGTTGAATATCGACAAAACGCGAAATTACTCGCGCCAGTTGGACAACTAAAATATGTGGACTGCATAATTAATCTAATTCTATATTTCTCCTTCTATGCTAGCATTCTTGAATTATTTGCGGCTTGAGAGCGTGACCTATGGAAAGAAAAGAGGAATGCCGGCCTGGAATACAAATCGATGATTCCCAAATCGAAATCATTAATTTGTTAAGCTAATTTCTCTTGTATGAACCATTAGCTAGCGATATAAAAAGCAAATTCGAAACAAGCAGCAGGCAACTATGAAATTTCTCGCTTTTCTTGCACTCTGTCTGCTCACCATTGGTGGTGTCGTGGATGGATGGTACCTGACGAAACTCCGGCGCTCCTCGGTGAGGTTCTTTCCTAAGCAGTATGCATGTGTCCCATTGACGCTCCCACTTGTCCGTGATTGGTTGCGCGAACACTGGTACTTATACATACCTGCGAGTCAGCCAATTCGAGATCAGTGGGCGTGCCGACAGTATACGTTACAATAACTGCTCTACATTCTTGCAATCCGGAATTTGGAGGAGCATCCTACAAGTATATATGAACTAATACGGAGTAGTATAAGCGAGCAGGCCCGACCATCCTCGCAATTTCCTAAAATTTTGTGACGCCCCTCCTTTAAAGGGATCCATCCCCTCAAAGGAGTGCGCGTCACAAAATTTCAGGAAAGGGGTCGCCCTCGCTGCCATCGGTCTTAGGAGGCTCTTAAATATGACCTCGCCTCTCCTCACTCCGACTGCTTCCCTCGCCAGTAGTATTAAAGGACGAATTCACGCTGGGAAGGCAACCCATTTCAAATTAACTAGGGATGGTGAGTGGTACACGAAAGAAGGAAGAACCATGAGAAACGGCCCAGAACCCGAGAAATGGACCCCTTCCTTGCCCGTTGATTTGAGCATTGATGCGACTCTCATCGCTGTGCCCTCTTCAACACTACGCTCTCTCTGCTATCTAATCACTCGCCACGTATAGACTGCGGCGAGTGATCAGCTGGTCGGTGGGCGGAGATCGCCAGACCCGCCAACTTTGAGGCATGATAGGTCGCCGAGGTCAAATTTTTCGATGCGAATTGCGCATCAGTTCGCACCCTCAGGAGGTCCGTGGGTCCCTCAACTAGGTCAATTCCTTTTCTTCGACCTTCATTCTAATCGTGAAATCCTCCTTTAAAGTATTTCTGTAGAA